GCTTCCTTCTTCCCCATCATCCCTCAGTCGGTCGACCTTGTTGGCCTTGGCAAGCTCCCGAGCAAGGAGGAGGTTAAGAAGGCTATTTTTGGGATCGATCCAAACAACATCTCTGGCTCGGATGGCTTCTCGTCTCTCTTCTATCAGTCCTGTTGGGAACTTGTTGAGACTGATGTTGAGGAGACTGTGTTGGATTTCTTCTCTGGTCACCAAATGCTGGAGTCCTTCACGACTGCCTCAGTCATCTTTATCCCCAAAAGACCCTGCCCGAGCTTTTGGTCGGATTAAAGACCTATCAGCCTCTGTAATGTGACCAACAAGCGCATTTCCAAAATTCTTAATGGGCGCCTTCACCCTCTCCTTCCTTCTATAATCTCTCCAAATCAGAGTGGTTTCATCAAGGATCGGGTCATTAGTGATAACATCCTTTTGGCCCAGGTGATGATCCACGACATCTCCCCATGCGAATCGGTAGCGAGCCACAAACCATGGACCAGAGCTAGCACGGCTAAGGCATATGATAGGGTCGAGTGGCTGTTTCTGAGGAAGGTATTGGTCCGAATGGACTTCCTAGAGCAGTGGGTTAGTTTGTGGAGGTGTGTGTGGAGCACTGCACATTCTTGGTTATGGTTAAGGGAATCCCCAAAGATTTCTTCCCTTCTTCATCTGTGATACCCCGAGAATGACCTACAACACTCGTAGCTATGGTCCTCCCATCTCGCACCTCTTTTATGCGGATGACATCATTATCTTCACTGGTACAGATGATCATGGACTGGTCAAGATTGTACATCTTCTGGAGCACTATGGCTCGGTCATTGTTCAGCTCGTCAGTGTTGCGGGCCAATGGGCGCAGTGGGTCTGCGAGCATACTGGTTCCGCGCGCAGCGACCTCCCCATCACCTACCTCGACACCCCTTTGTACAAAGGCTATCTCACAAGAGTGCTCTTTGCTGACGTCAGACAGAGGATGATTGAACGGATCTTCTTCTGGTTGCATATACCTCTCTCTTTTGGGGTTCAGCTCGCACAGATCAAAAACACCCTCAACGCTCTTCCATTTCATCTCCTTATGGTCCTTGATCCCCCTATATCCACTCTCCATGATCTCGATCAGATCATGACTCGTTATTACAGGGGGCATAGGGACGACTTCCGGTGGGGGAGACAACACCACTAGGTAAAGTGGGACTCTGTTTGCTGGCCTTTTTCTGAGGGTGGCCTTGGGATCTTGCACTTATCAGACGTAGTCACCACTTTCTCTTATAAGATGTGGTGGCGATTCAAGGAGGGAAAATTACTTTGGGCTCAGTACCCTCGCTGAAAGTACTACCCTAGAGGTGTATGTCATCCCTGTAGGGTGACGACCACCAATCATGATAGTAGGCAGTGGAGGCGGTTCACGAAGGTAAGTAGGCATGCCAAGAGCACATCTTCTGGACGCTGGGTGAGGGGGATGTTAGCTTTTGGAACGAGTGGTGGTTTGGTGTGGAACCCTTTTCGAGCACTAGGCAAACCACTCACTCCCTTTCCCTGTAGGTGAAGGACTTGTGGACCAATGGGACGTGGGATAAGGATATGTTAAAGAAAGGGAGTTGGGTACTGGAGCGGGTTTTAGTGACCAGTTGTTATATCAAATCCATCAGATTCTCATCTCGGAGAATGGTTTGGATGGTATGAGGTGGAGACTCACATCTTCGGGTGCTTTCTCTACGACCTCGGCTTGGGGGGAAGTACTGTTGGGTGACCGGCCTAACCTTATTTTTGGGGCCATTTGGACCGACATGCTTACCCTGACCATTTGTGTCTTTCTTTGGCGCCTTCTTTTGCACCGGATTCCGATCGACTCTGTGTTGCAGGCGAAGGGTGTTTCATTCCCCTCACGGTGTTACTGTTGTACCGAGACCTATGATTTCCAGACTTAGACATTTTCCTATTTTTTTTTAGAGAGCGAGGTTGCGAGGAGAGTAGTGGAGCATTTTGACACATATACTCATATACCCCTACCAACTACAGACAATTTCTTTGTGCTGATGAGTTTTTTCTCACAGTGCACACACTTTAGACACGTGGGCTTCCTCATTCATTGCTTGATTATGTGGTTCATCTGGACAGAGAGGAATAGTGCGAAGCATAGGATATTACTTTTATGTTCTCTCACATTGTTTTGCAGGTGGATCAACATCTCTCTCTCTTCACAGCTCTGGGCAGACTCACGCCTATAGACTGGACAAGCTGCACGTCGCACAGCTTCATGCCATCTCAGCTGCCGCCTGTCCAGCAACTACACCCCAGAGCCGTTGTTTGGCTGAGACCCGGCTCCCCTTAGATTAAGTTGAACACTGACGGATCTTTCAACCGACTCACCGGAGACACCAGAGGTGAGAGCCTGATTAGGGATCCCAACGGAGCTCTCATTGCCGCCTTCCACGCCCCTCTTCAAGCCTCCTCGAGCTACGACGCGGAGGTTTAGGTGCTTCAGAGCGGTCTTCAGATTACAGCCTCTATCTCTACTTACATTTGGATTGAGATAAATGTTATCGCTGTCGCCACCCTCTTCACCTCGGGCCACAAAGGCTCGTGGCAGATTCAGCACCCGCTCATGCACATCAGATCCACATTTCAGTCGGTTCACTACCGGATCTCGCACATCTTCCGCGAGGGGAACCTACCGCTGACTACCTAGCTAGCGTCGGTGCCTCCACTCCCCAGAGGAGCACTTTCAACCCGGACGATGCCCCTTTCTACCTCCGCACTCTTGTGCGTATGGATCATGATGGCTACCCCTCGTTCATATTTCAGTAGTCGTTTTGTATTTTTTATGCTTTAGCTCACTTTGTGGTGCAGACTGCTCGCCTGGGCACCTGTCAGCCCAGGTTCAAACTTTTCATTTTGGTTGTCGATTTTTTCTTTTTTGTTTGTTGTTTGGACATGTGTAGACTTGTGACTTATTCATCCCAATTAGGATTTTTACAATATGCAGATTGGGGATCCGACCTTAATCTCCCACCCTTCAGGGTGTTTCAAAAAAAAAGAAAAAAAAAAAGAAAGTAATATAATTTTGAGGTCACCAATGTCCATTTATAAGAGCAAAACTGACTTTAATGCAGCGATTTACTTGGGGACAAACTTGTTGATTTTAATATTTTTAATTCTTTTATCAACCTCAATGATTTCAACTTTCCAAACCCAAACAAATATGTTAATTAGAATAAGATATAGAAAAAAGAAAAAGTCGGCACAACACACGCCATTAATGATTAGAGAATATATATTCTACATTAAGTATATTCAAAAATTTCTCCTAATACCAAACTATTAGTAGCATCGTAGCATAATGAAATCCAAGAATTCAAAATATTTCAATCAAATTAGACGCAAAACAACAATGTGAGAAAAGATTCCAAATTGAAAATGAATAATTTTTTGTGAGCTTTTTTTTTCGTAAAATTGACAAGTAATATGTTCATTTAGAAGATTCATTCAGAAAATGATCATGAAAAATCATATCCCATAGTGCATTTTCTATTTTTCTTCCTTCCAAATTTCGAAGTTCAAACCTTTTTTTGGCTCAAATTTGGAGTTTGGTAGCTCGATCAGCTATGAATTTTTCATCGTCGGTCTTGTCATGAATCATGCTCTCGCTCGACAACTGCTGCCACTACTACCACCACTGGCGGCGACTGACGAATGTCTCCTCCTCATGCTGCAGATCAATCGATAGATTGTGTATTTCACAGGGAAAAATGTAACTGAAAGGTTTTGATGTCAATTGGGTGAAGAAAATGATCGCAAGACAAGAACAATTGAAGGAAAAATGTTTATGCATAGGGCCCTACGGATGGATGACGCGATCCCCAGACCTTTGAAGTATTTGTGAGGCAGGTGTACATAAATAAATCATTGAAATTCAAAGTTATACGAGTAAAGAACAAATAAAAAAATGTTGAGTAGATAAAGTGCAAAAAAACGTATAGGTAGGTGGGTAAAGTGTAATTTTTTCAATTACAATTAACTGAATGAATGACTGAAAAGTTAATTTTTCCCTTAGAAACTTCTGACGATGACCTGAAATTGATTAAGTGCAATTTTTCGTAAAGTTATATGGACAAAGTTTCACGAGAAAAATTTGAGTAGGTAAAGTGCAAAAAACTCTATAGTTAGATGAGTTAAGTGTAATTTTCCCGTAGATTAATCTAAAGGATTTATGTTATCGAATTATTAATATTTTGTAGCAATTCACATGGAATGTTTGAGTGTTCTAATTCTAAAAGGATTAATGATGATAAATCTTCAGTTCTTCAAAAGAGTAATGACTATAGATTTGGTTTTCTCAAATTTTGAAAATTATGTTAGGCATTTTCAGTGAAGATTTGATATAGTTTAAGTTGATACGATATCATTTTTATTAAATACTGCAAAATTAGAAAAGCACTTTGCCAAATAAAAGACAAATATTAAAGATGAGAAAAGTAAGCAAGTATGTGGGCCTTCGGGCCGTTAGATTAATCACACATAGGCTGATGAAGTATAATTTAAGTTAGACCCTTGTATAGTCAAATTTTCCTCCGCAAAGTCTCCATTCTCAACTTCTCATCACTCCTCTTTCTTCCTCTTTCAAGATCTCTCCGAAAGAACCAAACACCAAAATCATGATTCCATCTGTAAAGTAATTCCCTTTCCTTCCTTAATTTCCTCGCTCGACAGGGTTCACGCGGCTCCCCACCCAAATTCACGTGTCCAATACATTTTGTACACATCTATCTGTACAGTGTATATTGGGTTGATCGAGTGAGATTGGTGCTTCTTCTAGAATGGTAGCTGCAATGCCAACCTCGGGCGCGAACGGCGGGGACGTTTCGAGAGCCCACATGGCGATGGCGGCCGTGCAAGTCTTCGCCGGCGGCTACCACGTTATCACCAAATTGGCGCTCAACGTCGGCGTTAATCAGCTCGTATTCTGCGTCTTGAGAGACCTTCTGGCCCTCTCGATCCTAGCCCCGGTTGCCTATGTCCGTGAGAAGTCAGTCTCTCTCTCTCTCTATACATTTACTCTCTATTTTGTTGAACAGAATTAAGTTCTCAAATATATGAATGGCTCAACTCTGTAATTTTACTTTTGAATCTTATTTTTATCATTTGCTTTCCCTTAGGGTGTTTTGAAGTGTGTGAAAAATTGGAAAACTGTACGAAGGTACAAGATTTGTGACACTGCTCATTGATTGAAATATTAGGTCTCCTAACTATAAAGCCAAGAGTCATCATTGGTTGAAAGGGGAATCTCTGTAACTGAACAATACCTTTGATCGTCTTGGTAAAATATGTATGTACGATTTACAGCTAAGCGAAAAAAGCGAAGCATATGGGAGTTTCAGAACACGATAACCGGGTTTTAGATGTGCACTTATCCAACCAGTGCTACTACGAAACTACAAGTGATTAACTTTGATTTTCAAAAGAAATATGTAAGGGAAAAAATCTAGTCTTCCACACTCATAGCTATTTAATTATCCCTATTTTATTCTGAGGAATTCTTGTAGGCTGTACTAAATCTTCGATTAAGTAACCAAATTTGAAGCTTTTTCTTGAGTAGCTTTATCCATTCGCCTAAGGAGAACATGAACTTCAGAATATCACTTTGTGTGTACATGGAAACAAACTGGACTGATCAAGTCAAACTACTGTAGCGCATATATCATCTGCATTTCTGATCTAAGATGGAGTAGGTGTATGGTCAACATTCATCCACATTGGTTTTGCCTATATGTAATATACAAAGTATCTTAACTTAATGAAATTATCAATTATTATATCTCTTAATAGTTTCTTGAGTTAGTTAATTTTCTTTGTTGAAATGTTTGGGGGAAACATTGACAATGTTTTATATTTTTATTTTTTCAGACGGCAAAGATTGCCACTAAATAGGCAGTTCATTACATCCTTTTTCTTTCTTGGTTTAACAGGGTAAGTGGAGTCTCTCAGTTTGGTTTGGGTTCTTGTTTTTTCTTTTAATTTTTTTTTTAAAAAATAATAATAATAATCTCGTTGTTTTATCTTGTTTTGTTCGCTGTTGGATTAGCATTTTTGGAAATCAACTTTTGTTTCTTCTCGGTCTTGGCTACACGAATCCAACTTATGCTGCAGCCATACAGCCTGCTATTCCAGTCTTCACATTTATATTGGCTGTAATAATGGGGTGAGTCTAAGCTCTCCAATCAACTCTCTCTCTCTCTCTCTCTCTCTCTCTCTCTCTCTCTCTATCTATCTATCTATCTATTCCTGATATACAATCACACACAATGTTGTGCTTCATTGGATAACTGCTTGTGCAAGTGTATTTACATGCATGAAGATCATAAAGGAGTGCTTCCAAATCAAAATTCCATTATTGTTACATATGGTCGTTCTATGTTCAGTACAGAAACTCTAAATTTACAAAAAGCTGAAGGTCAAGCAAAGCTAGGAGGTACCCTTGTTTGTGTCTTTGGTGCGGTTCTGATGGCTATGTTCCGAGGTCCAGCTGTGTTTGGATATAAGGAATTAGATTTCACATCGCATACTGAAATAAGCGCCAAGGGTCAGCCAGAGCCTGCTGGTTGGTTGATGTCTAGTCTACTTGACTTGGGCTTTGATAATTGGCACCTTGGGGTTTTATGTTTGATAGGGAACTGCATGTGCATGGCTACATATCTAGCCATTCAGGTAAATCGTGATGTTCATAATTTTGTATTTTCTGGTCTGTCATGAATCATGCAATCGATATTTATTTATTCATTAAGCCAAATTTTCAATACAGTTTCATCTTACGTATCTTTGTGTGTGATCTTCTCAAAATACAGTTTCTTCTTACATCTGTTTGTTCCCTGTGTATTTTTCTCTAATTTTGTTTGAGAACAGTTTCCATTTCAGTATGTATTGGTAGTATTTTTGCTTAATCTGTGAAAAAATACATAGTTGTGTTATCTTGACATTTCTGATGTTTTAAAAAGCAAGTGTGAAGTTCNTGATTCATCAAGTAATTTCATGCTTTCTGCATTTTATATTAATTTTTCAGAACCCGTTCGAAGTGAAATTGCCTTGGGATTGGAATTAATTTTAATAAACTTTGAATTGTAAATCTTCATATCTTCTTATTATATCTTCCCACAGAGATCTGGTTTACACTTAATGGGGTGGAAGTCATTATTCTAGGTGCATCACTGTACCCAATGAGTTTATTTTCATGCTGTACCAAGCTTTTCAGAACCTAGTCTGCAGTCAACTTGTATTTTTCAATTGCTTCTAGAATTACTTTGTTTTTCCATAATTCTGTTTGGTGCTTTTATGTTGTAAATTCTTTTCTTCCTCGTGGTAAAATCAGCCCATTCTCTTTTCAGATGTTCTATAGGAACAATTTTAAGCTATTTCTGTAGCCAATGACGAATTGACGATGATATGTTTTATGGACTTTAGCTGTATTTCTGTGCAGGCCCCCCTTTTAGCCAAGTATCCTGCAAGTATATCAGTGACAGCATATTCATACTTTTTTGGTGCATTGTTCATGGTGGGAACTGCCATTTTTATGACAAATGAATCAACAGACTGGAATCTCACACAGTCCGAGATTTTTGCCGTATGCTATGCTGTAAGACATCTCTTTCTCTGTCTCTCTCTCTCTCTGGGGCAAGAAGTGTAAAATATCATCCCAGAAGCTTTTGACATCCCAGAAGACTCTCTGTAACATGCATTTTTCATTCTATTGACGGACTCTTTTTCTTTTCATAGGGAGTTGTGGCATCTGCTCTTAACTATGGGCTTTTGACATGGTCAAATAAAGTCCTTGGTCCTTCATTGGTCGCTTTGTATAATCCACTTCAACCCGCTGCTTCCGCTTTCCTGTCAAGAATTTTCCTAGGAAGCCCGATTTATTTAGGAAGGTTATATCTCTAACATTCGCCTTTGCATTACTTTGATAGTATCTTTTTTGGTTACTAGTAAAGTGCACGTGCGATGCACGTGGTGAATGTTTTTTGACAATTAAGTTTAATAAAACAAATTAGTTAATTTATAAGACAAATTATTGCAAGAACGAAATAAAATGTAGAACAAATGAACTTCTAATGTATATTTTTTCAAATAACATAATGATGTGCTAATAAAATAAAATAAAATAACATATTACAACCCTAGAAAATATAATCCCTAATGGGAATAAAACACTAAGTAACTAAATAAAGGCCTATTATAGATGCATTAGTTCTTTTATTTAATTATGTTGGATGATTCAAGAGTGATTTTCTTTCGTTTTGGTTTTGACGTTTTCAAAAAAAGCATTCATATCGTTGGAGCCTAATACATCAGTGTGCAAATTCTTCTTAATCCATTTGGCAAAAAGGTCTACTTTATTCAAACACTTATAATAAATATTCTAGCTAAACATATCTCTGTATAATGTATTTCTACTAACAGTTCATTAATATCTCTGTAAAATAACCAACGTGTCATTAAAGGTGTTATTTTTTTTTTCCTATCATTGTATAACCTACTTCATTACCCTCTCTCCATATAGACAAATTGATACCTACCCCATGAAGGCATCGCCACACGGGGTGGGAAAAAATTTCATCTCCATATAAAAGTTGACTTACCAAAATCATGGTTATATGTACTTCTTCCGAGGTGTTAAATTACTTTATGAAATCATAACATTACATGAAAGTATGTACTCTAAATTAATTGCACATATGTTCATGCACAATATACAATGAGATTGCAATATTCCTATAAAAAAATGACAATTTCATTCAAACATTCAAGAATGTTTTGATCAGGCTCTGACATTTTCTTTTCAATATGAAGACTGGCGAACTATATCCCCTCTATATATTATTTCAGAATGCGCTGAGCCTACGTGACAAACTCTCATGCTTCGGAATCCTATTTGGTAAAAAATCATGCTTTGGAGTTAGGCTTGGATATAAATTAATTTTTTTTATTACACTAATGATTGATTTTTTTCCTTCTTTACTTTTACAATTAGTTACCATAAACTATTTTATGTTTCATTTTCCTATATTACCATACATCACATTTCATTTTCTTATATAATTCATTCATTAGTTTTTATAAATGTTTCTTCTTCTTATTTTAAGATTTTAAAACTTTTTGTCTGTATTTTATTTTTCATATATGATATATGAAATTAACTATCTTCATTCAATTTAATATTGCTTATTTATTTGTTTATAATAACAATATATTTGATAAAAAGTACTTTTATACTGGTTACAAGATTAAAAATTTTAGGGTTTTTGTCCATTGTTTGATAAAATATTAAATAACTAACTCATTTTCATATTCATTGATAGAATCATCGTGTTCCCTTATCCTTTTATGCAGTAATTGAATAGTTGTTAAAATACAATTCATTTATTTATCTTTTTAATTCACATAGTTAATGTTGTTAATAGTTGTAAAATTACATCCATTTTTTAATTTTTTTTTATTTGTATGAATATTTCAAATATATGTAAGAGAAATATAACACAAGTTTATCTTATTTTTTATACTTAATAAAATTGATTTCAGATGGATTTATAATTTATTTTATAAGATACTTTTAGGTCCATATACTATTTTAAATTAATATTGATATATATATATATATATATATATTATTTTATATCGTTAGAAGTAAGTATATTATTTTTATTTTATTATTGCAATATATTGGTCAAATTAAACATCATTTTATAATATAAATTTCTTGTTCATAAAATTTTCAAAAAATATATTATTTTCAGCGATTTGAAAAAAAAATAAAAATTCTTTCTCGCTTAAAATTTTTTTAACTTATTGTGACTATATTGTTGTGTTCAAACTTAAAAATTTATTACAAATGAGAAAGATGACAAATTATGAAAAGTATAAATTATAAATTGTAACGGGATTATGTTAGTTTGATGGTATACCTTTTCAATTAACTAAAAATGCCCCCAATATGATTTTAGATCTGCCACTGTAATTAATTTTTCAATGGAACTTACATTGATTTTTTTACAGTTTCAATGATAGTTTTTCCAACGGTTGAAATATGGACAGAAAATAAATTCAACAAAAATTTACACAATAATATATAATGGTAATTGGAATCATTATATCCACTAAATTCCAATGTAACTTAATTTTTACCTTTATTGGAATAACCAATGAAATTTTTCTATGAAAGTTATACAATGATATATCCGTTGAAACTTTCAGTAGAATACATGTCGTCGGATTTTTCATTGCAATATAGCAATTTTTTTTTCCTTCTAAACATTAAAATTTTATGTAGTATTTTTTGGTATTAATTAACTGCATTTATAATTTTTTTTATTAATAATATATTAAACACATGAAGTTTTTAGTCCATATATTTTTTAGAATACCCATTAATTTCTCAATTGAGTTACATTTCTTACATATTAAATATTAAATGATGAAAATAATTATTATTTTTTATATAATATTATACTTATATATTATTTTAAAAAACTAATAGCAAATAAAAGGTTAAAAAATAGAATAGTTAGGTTGTTTTTTTTTTCTTTTTTTTTTTAGTTCTAACATACAGGGATAAAAATACAAATACTATTGTATATCACCTAAAACTTATTCATATTATTAATAAGCACAAAAATTGAGAAGCGTTTAACAACTCAACTCGTTTACATCGCTAGCTACAAGTTTTTAAGAGTTTGTATTTACTTTTATTAGTTATATCGGTTTTATTTATTACATTTTTCATATTTATTAGTAAATGTTATGACTTAATACTTTCAATATTATTTATCATATTTAATATTTTTTCACTTTATATTTATTTCATATGTTTTTATTATATATGTGTGTGTGTGAGAGAGAGAGAGAGAGAAGAGTATAAAAATTTTAGATTTGTTAAAAATGTATAAAATTAAATATAGAAGTTTTTGGGTTATATGTCTTATTATGAATCAAGTAATTGTATATCTTTATATTATATTATATACAATTACATTATTTTCATTAATATTATACTCAAACATTTATAATTTATAAACACGTCAATTATTTTGTCGAGTCAACTATACTACTACATAAAAAATAATTCATAACAATTTAAAAAATATATAATTTCAGTGATTTTCTTATGTTGAATTTAGAAAAACTATGCTTTTTTTTTTCAAATATTTTTTAACTTAATGTGACTGTATTGACGTGTTAAAAACATATTACAAATGAGAAAGATGATAAATTATAAAAAAATATAATGTATAAATTGTAATGACATTATGTTATTTTGATGGTATATTTTCTCTATTAACTGCATAGTGCTCCCAATATGAAATTATTTTGGATCCGCAAATGCAATTAGATTTTCGATGGAACTGTCATTGAACTTTTTATTATTCAATTGACAGATTTTTCAACGGTTGAATATGGTTAGAAAAAAAAAATCCAATGAAAATTTACACAACAATAAATAATGATAATTGTAATAATTAATTCCAATGTAATTTAGTTTGATCTCTGTTGGAATAGAAAATAAAAATTTCCAATGAAAGATATACCGATGAAATCATTGGAAATTTCAGTGGAATACCTTACTGTTGGATTTCATTGCAATATAACATTTTTTTTTTGTATTTTTTCTTAAACATTAAAATTTTCATGTAGTAACTTTTTTTATTAATTAATTCTGAATACAAATTTCTATTGAAAATACATTAAACACGTGAACTTTTTAGTCCATAACAAAGTTTATTTTTTATAAAGAAAAATCAAAAGTTATAACCTACATTCATAATAGTACAGATAACTATGGTCTATCTCCTAAAAGTTACACATAGAACTAATAAACACAAAAAATTTAAAAAGCGTTGAACAATTTGTCTCGTTTACATCGATAAATACAAGTTTTAAAAGTTTTATATTTACTTTTATGAATTATAATTTTTCTATTTATTACTCTTTTTCTTATTTACAAGCAAGTGTTAACTTAATTATATTTTTAATAATATTTATCATATTTAATTTTTTTTGTACTTTATAGATATTTATAAGTAAATGTTGCAACTTAATCATATTAACTTTTAGATTTTTAAAATATACATAAACTTAAGTATAGAGATTTTTGGTTCATATGTCTTATTATATATCAATTAATTTTATATCTTTATTATAATATATATAATTATAGTTTTCTCATTAATATTATACTCAAATATATAAATTTTTTATTTAGCACTTTAATATTTTTTAAGAAAAACACTGTTTTCTTATAATAATACAGATTAATAGATAGATGGATAATGGTAATATATCGATATAATTTCTTGGTGAAAATAATTATTTTTCAGCGTATAAAGGCATGTCTCTTAATTAATTTGTAAATAGTCATATGATCAAAATTAAATCATGTTGCTCGAATGTTGTCCCAGTAGACTATAATTTTAGGTTGTAAAACAATCATTCAACAGTTAATTTCTCATACTATTACACAATTTATTTATTTGAAAAATAATGTGTCTATACTTTGTGGTCTTTATGAGGACAAACAATACCGATTTCAAATTTTTTATTTAGAGGTATTAATAAACTTAAAAAATTGAATAAATATTACTGATTATGGTCAAATAAACTCTCAAATTTTATTAAAAAAATCCATAAAATTATTTAAAAAAAATTAAGATAATATCAATAAACAAAATATTTAATAAATAAAGTTTAATTATCATTTTTATTTAGTTTCCATCTTGACTCAAATAAAGTAATAATAATTAAAATATCTTGATATATTTTAGTTAACTATTGGATGAAAAAGTTCAAATATTTTAAGGGTTAATAATTATTCACCTTGATATTAACCACCTAATGGTCATGTGAAATTTCTGAACTTTATTGGCTTTGTGATCAAAATTAGGAAAAAAAGAAAAACAAACAAAGAAACAAATAAATGACGATATTTGTGTGATAAAAATTAATCCAATAAATTAAGCCGCAATTTCTATTCTTAAATAATGAAGTAGTTAAATGAATTGTTCCACTTTTCTAGTTTGTTAGATGATGTATATATTTCACGTGTGCATGATTTCAGTAAGATTTTAGTATCTTCTCTTGATTAAAGTTAAGTATGTATCTTTAGAATTATTTATTATGCAAGTTACCCCGCAATTAAGTTGTCTTTTTTTTCAATTTTTAAAATTGTAAATAAGTAGTTGGAAATATTTAGGTTCTTTATAAGTATTTATTATGTTGTTTTTATTGGATCAATTTTCTCTGAAGATCTTTTACATATTAGAATTATGAAATGTGATTAGGGTTTTGCATTAAAACCATAGTAAAAATAAACATCAATTCTATATCCTTTCAAAGCTTTGTTGTTTGGATTGATTTTTAGGAGATATGAAAGAAAGCAATAATGTGGAAGAAGCAAATTCATGAGGAATAATAGTACAAAGAATATTAAAGTTGTTTTTTATGAGATGTGGAATGGTTTTTTCTTGTGTTTTGTATTTAATTAATTAAATATTAGTTATTAATTAAAAATATAAGACATGATGGGTATTAGTGTATTACTAATTTGTCATTAAAAATATGTCAAAGTAAGGGTCTTTTAGGTAGTTCACTTCTTAATTAAATATATTAAATAAAATAAGTATTACTGTATTACTAATTTGCCATTAAAAATATGTCAAAGTAAGGGTTTTTTAGACAAATCATTATTTTTACAAAATCACTCGTCTTTTATAATAGTATAGATAGATTAACTACAAAAACCCAACTCTGAATTGGGTTGTTACATTTTTGAGAACTCTTACATTTTTTCGAAATCCTACGTAAAGTTTTGTAACGTTGACATCCGAAAGAATATAGTTAACCATCTAAAATAACTGAATCAAACGGTATGGGATGTAATTGTAATAATTCCCTGTTTGTTCAAAAATTTTTTTTTTTTTTCGCAAGAAAAAGGTCTGGGTAGTTTATGTAATGTCAACTTTATTTTTCTTGTAATTACATAACTTTCTCAAATTTCAGTTTGGATCATCTATTTCTTCCATTGTTCCAACAAGCCACATTTAGTCTTGTATCCATCCCGTTACAACGCAAGTTATTTTATTTGTGGCACCCAATAGAATGAATTAAGAATTGCAATAGTAGAAGTCCCATCTTTTTTTCATTTTCTTTTAGTAGTTTTCTTCCTGCAATTCTCATCTTGATATCAAACCTATGAAAATTGTCAGTTGACCAACACACGCACACACACAACACGCACACATGTATTGTGTCTGAATGTTTTGTCTACTTTGAAACAGTATACTCGGTGGATTTTTCATCATAGCCGGGCTTTACTTGGTCACATGGGCATCTTACAGAGGAAAACAGGCAAATATGGGAATGCCTCCTCTTCCCTCTCGGTCATCCGAAACCATCGTTAATCGGGATTCATCCATCACTAAGATATCATTCCAGCTTGGACATCTCTTCTCAGGTTCATCAACATCGTCCCCTAAGATTGTCGATTAACTTGAATCTTCACCTATAGTTTGTTGTGATTGACCTTTGGATCACTAATGCTTATGGGAAAAATTTTCATTGCTTATACATTTTGATGATTTCTAACCTACATTCTTCAATATATATACATATATCTATATGTTAAACTCTTTATTCGAAATTGGTTTGGTTGTGATATAGCTAGGACTACGCAGCAGAGCCATAAAGTATTATCACATGACAACAATTTGAATCCATCTAGCAAGTTCACACCACATACAATTTGGCTTACTAGTTGCTTATGGTCGTAGCATTATTAAATTAAATGGGTGATTGGAAATAAATTTTTTGGTGTTAGATCGGATTTATTGGATAAAGTGAGTTAATTTTGAACAAAAAAAGTTTATTAAATGGAGGATTGAGTGAGACTTTGAGTTTGTATTTGAATAATATTTGGAATATAATGATTGAAGTTTATGTAATATAAAAGTAAAAGAGATTATTGAAAATGATAGCTTTGATGGATGAGTAGTGAATTTTGTTAGTGTGATGAGACGATGATTTATTATATTATATTAATAAAAAGTATGTGAGTTAAATGGATTAAAGATGAGTTATAGTATGTGTTAAAAAGTTATAAAAAAATTATCCGATCAATTTTGACTGGATAAAATGTATTTCCTGTCGCGTTAAATACCGCACCCCTTTTTACTAAATACCGCACCCAAAAAAGACAGTCTTGCCCTTTTCAATTTTTTTTTTATTTTTTTTTTTAATTTTTTATTTTTATTTTTTTTTTCTGCTGGCCGGCCGCTAATTGCGGCTGCAACTCGCGCGGCCGCACCGTAATTGCGGCCGCCTCTCGGCCAGGGCCCTTAATTGCGGCCGGCCCAATTTTTATTTTTATTTTTTTTAATTTAAATATTTTAATTTTAAAAACTATATAATTTTTTAATATTATCAAATATCAAAGAAACCAATTAATAATTATTAAAACAAGTTGCTACAATATTTATTGTCATTCCTTGCCTTTCATTGGACTTTCTCATCCAATGTGGGATAATTATAAATCAAATGTTTCAGTCTCCCAACCTTTTATAGCTAGTTTTGGCCTTTATTATTGTGTTTGTAACCGACGTGGGATTGTCCCATGCCTCTAGCCTTTTATAGTTACTTTCTACATTTTTTTTTTGTTTTCAAAATCAATGTGAGACTAAATGATCCCTACTTTAACACACTTTCATTATGTATGTCAAGATGAATATCATATTATCATTAATTAAATTTATTATTATCTTAAATTGATAAATGATTAAATTTAACTAAATGAACATGAAATATGGAAAACATTATGGTTTTTACATAATAAAAGAAAATGCACTTATCATCTTACTTTCAAATTTTTTTATAAATGATATAATTTATATATGTGTTAAATATTTAGAAAAATGTATAATTTATTATTATTATTATTATTATTATTATTATTATTATTATTATTATTATTATTAAATATGTTATTTATTAATAAATGTGTTATTTGTAATTAATATATATATATTAGTGAAATTATAATTAGTATTGTAATATAAGTTGAAAAAAATTTAAAATTTATTAATTGATTAGTTTGTATGATTATATAATCAAAAAATATTATTTTATTAATTAATATATTAATTACATTTTTATATTAAAAAGTATATATTTTATAATATATTATATATATATAATATATTAATATAACTAATATATTATGTTAGTTATAATTATAACTAACATATATACTTAAGTAAGTAACATATTTAATATATAATAATAAAGTATATAATTTTTAAATTATTAAAACATATATAAATTATATTTTTTTTTTATAATCAAATATTTATTTATTATATAAATTATATTATAATTTAGATATTATGTTATAAATTAGAATTTATTATCTTATAGTTAGAATTTAGAAATTATTATATTATAAATTATAATTCATTACGTTATAGAATTTTATTATTATTATGTTAAAACTTAGAAATAATTAGGTTATATAACATAATTCTAATTATCTCTAAAAAATACTAATGACTGATGTTATTAAAAATTGTAGTCCCTTTTTTTTTTTTTTTTAAATCCGCTCCTTTCTAACTCAGTAATAAACTTTAAAATACAAAATAATATTCTTAATTAAATTTAAAATTCATAAATAACAAATTGAACGGAAAAAGTCGGATTCTGGTCGAGCAATTCATTGAGTCCGATTAATTTCGTATGATTAGA